CAGAACACAGGGGAAAACAAATTTAGCGGGAGTGTTTACGTGTTCGGCGTAATGACGTACAACGGCCTCGACCATTTCTGTAGTCCTATTCAGCCACTCGGTAACAACCATCGTTTTTCAGACACGTAAACTCTTCAAAAATCCCCAGTGGGGTCACTGCTGATGTATTTAATGTCGTAGAACAAAACGTCAATTACCTCTTAAATTTGTGTCAACCACAGACCTTATTTCGAGCTATTTTCCAAAACCCTATGGAAAAAATGCATTGCTTTTTGAGGAAGGAACCGGAAGTGCTAAAAATGCTAACTTACTTCCGGGTTTTACGACGCGTCACTGCGGCTCTCATTACTTACGTCAACACAACTTATAAATACATTTTTGCAACTTAAAATGTTTATCTAAATCAATTAACTCACATTTTTATCTTGCAACCATGCATTTAATTAAGTGGAGGTGAAAGGTCGCCTGAATTCGTTTATAGAGTGCACCTTTTATTCAGGATGCTGCTTTTCATACTGAGAGTATCCAGCTGTGCAAGTGATATTGTAAGAATGAACTGAAAGTTGTTTTGAACGCAAACATGATGCTAAGCAGTTATAATGATAACCATGTTTTGCTGCTAAGCTTGCTAACATTTGCCATTTACATCATTAGTTGTAATAACTCTGACCATGTGGCGATTAGATGAAAGTGTCAGAGGATCACAGAGATGTTAGGGGAACATGAACGTCTTTACAAAATGTCATGGCAATAAATTGAACATTTGTTAAGATATTTCAGTCTGAATTAAAGTGGTAATCCAACAAACATTTCCATCCTTACATGTCAACATGAAACAAAAGAGTAAATGGTTGCACGCAATCCAGATAAATTATGATACCACGCTATGTTTATATACTCCAGTTTACTCTATATTACAATATAAGACCCCTGAAGTTTAAAACAGAATTGATCTTCTATGAATTATCCCTAACACAAAAGGCTCAGATCATTATCATGCACTATTATATTGCTGTTTACAACCATAAAAAAAGCCCTTTGTTTTTTTCAACAAATGAGTGTGATTTGTTACTGCCCTTTCATTTGACTGTCTTTCTCCCCCTCAGCCACTGGAATACAAATGAAAGGCTTAGTAGGTGAGGACTGATCAATGTTTGATTCAGTTAGTTAGAAGCAAATAAAATGTGGTCAATTTCTGCCATTTCATAAATCGCAGCTGAGAAACATCCACTTATCTCTCAGAAATAAAAGTATTTTCTATTCTGATTCTCTTGACTGCGCCCCAGAGAATTGCAGGCCAGTGGTTAATGGCATTATCAGAGGCAATCACTTCACTGAGGTCAGGGAGTGAGGACTTGAAAGCAATAAAAATCCCCACGATGAGAAATGATCCCCTTGCACGCACAGAAACACACACACAGGCACATGCAATGGTATTTCTATTGTGCAAAAAGATACTGAAAAGCACTTATGAATGAAATCTGCAGGGGACAGTGTGTTTACAAGTTGCACATAGGCCAATAGTATATTTTAAACCACAAAAAGACATAAAGCAGATTAAACAAAAAATAAGACTAATAAGTGCTCATGTTTAGCTAGCAGTCGGTAGATCTGTCTACCATTTAGGTCCAGATTGATACATTTTAAGGACTACTATGCCATACAATCTGGAAAGATGTTCATGGTTTCCAAAGGATAATACCAAGAGTATGGTGATCGCATGACTTTTAATAGCATTACCTGTAGGTTAAGTTCAACTTACCCAGTGAAATATCTCAACATCTACAAGATGGATTGGCACAATTTAGTTCAGAAGTTCATGAGGTCACCTTCTAGTTGACACATGGTGGTTTGATTAAAATATCTGAATAACTATTGGCTTGATTGCAAATAGATTCCATAAAAAATGTTCATATGTACTGTACCTTTGGTCATCCCTTAACTTGCCATCCAGCCCGATCCTCAGGTGTTGGGTTCAATCCTTTGAATATGACCAAATACCTGAAATTACAGACATTCCCATCAGCTTAAGCTTGACTTTGTTTTCAATGTTTATAAGAAACTATTAACATATGGGGAACATTGTAAAGATTATAGCTAATATTTTCAGTGTGGGCATGGTAGCATGATGGCAATATAATTTAGCTCCATGTAGTATAGCCTCACAAAGTCTCTAGCATGTGTGTAAGTTATGTTGAAATTAATATTAGGACATCACAGTGATATTAAAAACATTAACTAATGTCGCTGTCTTTTATTTTAACCCTAAATATTGAATATTGAAAATTGACTTGTTGGTGATCTGATAAGAAAATAAAAAGCTTTCTTACATCTATTTGTCTGCATACAGTCCAAGTGAACAGATCGCTCATATACAGCATTGTTACCATAAACACCACAGAAGAAGACACAGCCAGTCAGCCAGGAAGCAGAAGAGGCATAAGCAGGAGTGGCAGGGAAATCTCTCTGTCCTTTAGAAAGGGGATACACTTAGGGATAGTATTATGCAGATTTAAATATGATAGCTACAAATGAGCTGTGAACTGCATGCAAATGTCTTTGACGTTTCTTACAAACTGTTAATACGAGACAGCATAAAAGGCTCAATTGTTAAAATCACTTTTATTGACCTTGATGTGTATTTGAACAATTTGCTTTGCTTTTGTTAACTGCTGATTCAAGTGAAAGTGAAAAAGCATATTTGTCATGTTTTGCTGAAGGTCATTTAAAATGTCATGAAATGTTTTGTAAATGTCTTCTAAAAATAACAATATTACCAGGTGTCCATAATAAGTGAAGACGCTCTTTAAATTAAATAATTAGAAACATTTTGAGTATTTCTATATCCTGAAAGTCAAACATGTAAATGCTCACTCCGAGTCTTTTGTTATGCCATCACAAATTGTTGTGCTCCACAAAAAATATAAAGTGCTCTCATTCAAAAGAGCATTTAAAGTTGAGACTGCTGACGAATTGCATACATATTACACAGCAGGCATATGTATTGTCCATTGTGCTATTTTGATATTGACTGTATGTGCACTTTAATGGTACTGCCTGTTCTCATTTGATTTAGACTCAGCAACACCTGGCTGATTGGGGTTTTCTTTCTAGAACATATTTACAGATTCTCCATTCTGTCAATGTCCATATTTGCTTATACCTCTTCAGATTCTTGCAGAGTTGGACCCAGCATGCATTGTGAAGACAACAAAGGAAACACGCTATCCAGGTCACTAGTTTGCAGGATAAACAAAAAACAAACACTCATCTTTAGTCAACATAGGGGCTCAAATTCACCTAATTTAAATCTTTAAACTGCTTGAATGTAGTAAAACACATAGAGGAAAGCTGTGTGAGCACAAGAAGGACATGCAAATTTCACACAACACGCCAAATGAAAGTCTGTTTAAAGTACAGCAGCCTGAGCAACCATTTCTGGTCATTCTGAAGACATGAAGACATTTACAGTATGAAGCATTTCTAGAGAGTTTAAGGGCTTATCTAAATGAAATAGTAATTGAAGCATTAATAATTCATGATCATTCTCCGTTTAGGCTCATGCCTTGACAATTTTCTTGATGTAACATCGCAGTTGGAAAGTCCTCGCAGGGAAAAGCCAATGGTTTTATTACCATTTTTATGCACATTGTTATACTTGTGTTTTGTGATTCAAGTGATTTCTCATACTGCAGTGCAATTTTTTGAAGAAAGCCGATTGTGGGGAGATGGTGTAGATACTGATGAAAGAAACAACAATAGGTATTGCCATTTCTTTCATCATAATCTCACGAACACATTTAAATAAAGAACTTGTGTCAAAATCTGCCAAATGAAGGAATCCATCATATGGTTGTCCGTCTTAGTTGAAGCTATAACATAATTCATATTTATGTTTATGTGTTCATTGTATATTCATGGGGTTGTCTGTGTTTAATGTGGGAGAAAAGTCAAAGAGATGTGAACATGCAGCACAATCAAACTTGAAACGGAAGATGCGCAAAGACTCTATCAGGGCAACAAATCATTTTATCTCCTCTGTTCCCTCCGCTGGCACACACAGTAGACCGCTCGTAATGTTTACTGACCCGTACAGGACCCCTCTGCGTCTTAATTCCAGTCTTGGGAACTTTTCAAGCAGGTGCATTTGAGTTCTCCCCAGCATACAGGATACTAAACTATAAGGGGAGGTCCATATTGTAAAACACCTCTCTGTAGCTCATTTTATCATTTGTATTTGCAAAAGCCTAAATAAATTATTACATTAAATGTATTTTATTCAGTTTAGTAAATTTTATTTGTATTTACTTGTATTAACCTATTTTTCTTTTTTCCCTCCTTATTATTATTATTATTACAATTATTTTCTCTTTTTTTTCATTATTTTATTATAATAAATATGATAAGATAAGACTTTATTTATCCCGATGGAAATTGTTGTGCCAGAGTTACAGAAATACAATAAACACAGCCGCATAATAGTAAAACTGTACACTAAAAGTGCAGTAAAAAGAGCAATTCAATATCTACAGGAAATATAGACGGTCACATAATTCATGTAAATATTACCAGTGTTTAGTAGTGCAAAAAAAAACATAGTGGCAGATACGTAATTCCACGTTATTATAGCACATTAATAATAATAATAATATTGGACATGTTATATAGCAGCGAGTGTTTATATAGAGATATACATTTGAAATGCGATGGGGTGTGAGGGTTTTACGCAAGCAATTATAAAACTGTTTCATACTGCTTTTTTCTTTATTTTCTGAGAACTCATCATACTTCAACAAATACAGAATAAATCAAAAGATGTTCACAGTGAAATAGTGCTGCATGAATTGTAATGCATCTTAAGAGTCCTTGGTTACCTTCTAAATCTGTGCAGCATTGGTCTCCCACCGCTTGGACCATCTGAGTCCCTGACGACCGGTCTGTTTTTAGCCGTGCTGGATGGAGGCCTGGTGTGTTGTGAGGGGGAGGCCGGACCAGTGGGGATGTCCTGGTGCAGTCTGTCCTCTGCTGTACGCTGGACTCCTGGCTATCCCATATTAATCAGATTTGCCGCAGAAACCATATGTCCAAGCAGCATGATAAACCCCGGCTAGTACCTGGCACCCACCGGATGCACTGCCAACAGTGTGTGTGTCTTTGTGTGTATATCTCACCTCCTACACCGGAGACATTCCTTCAAAGATCTGTTGAGACATCAAAAATGTAAAGGGTGTAAATATAATATACATATTTTTTTTATGTTTTTACATTTTAAAAGAGCAGGAAAAAACTAAATCAATGAAGTAAGGAGATTTAGAGGTAAACCTGAAGAAGGAGAAAGTAATTTTTGGGCCAAATGATTCTTTGCCACAGTGTTTTGGAAATACATGGGGCTATTTACGTCACTGCAACAGGAAAACTGGCACTATCGACCTGCATAAAAAAAAGGCTCATTCCTGTGCCATCTGTTACCTTATGCTTAAGAGCACATTATATAATCCATATTCTCACATGATTCAGATCCCATGGTGTCACATATTTCAGACACTGTTTGTATCACACTCATGAACAGTATTGTGGAAAACCTAGCACTTGTATTAGCACTGGTGCCATGGATTGGAAGTTGGTGATATAAAGACAGAGTGAATATAATTTCTAATCTGAAGTTTTCTATTAAATGTCACAAAAACATGTATTCCACAATACATAATTCATAACCAAATCTCACAAGAGGCAACACTGACACTTGTCAAACATGATTTACTACGTCTGTATCTTACACAAATTTGATTCGTCTCTGTGTCTCTTCCTTTAAATCAGGAAACAATCACTCACAAGCCCCTACACTAGATCTGTGACTGAGGCTTCGCAAACAGGATTATCAGGTTTACAAATATGTTTCTGGAATTCAAAGAACTTTTTCGGAATTAATTGCATTTAAATTAAAGTTCACATGCATTTGTTATAATGAGGGCAGATGTTGTTGTTGCCATCTACTGTCTGCAAGACACAATGCATTTTACTCGCAAAACAATACATCATAATGATAGCAGCAATTACTATGAACAAGTATCAAAAGTAAACATACTGTCATTTAGATAAATATACCTATTAGCTTGTGTTGACTATCTTTCTCCCATTTTTCTACAAGATGAATAAATAAACCCTAGAGCCAATGCAACTTTCAATTAAATGGAGTATTATTGTGATATTGAAACTCATTCAGCTGCAAGAATTTAAGATCAACTAAGGTCAGTGCTAGAAATAAAAATAGCTTCACATGCAATCAGACATTAATGCTCTAGATTGTTTAAATGTGTGAAGATAAGTGCGCCTGACAAAAGATCTACATTTATCGTGAAATTCTCAATATCTTCCAGTGCAGTTATGTGACAAGAGCCTCTACACTGTGTGAATAGCCTGAATGTATTTAAGTGCATCATTTGCGGTCATAAGCACAGCTAACACATGTTAAATTATTTTCATCAAAAGCCATAAAACGCTCTCGGAGGACACTATATGCGCTCAATCATGCAAGGTAGACTCTTCTCGTCACTACCCACCCTCTCATGCGTGCCCCCTTCTTGCCGCTCAACCCCCACCCACGCACCCATCCTTCCTCTGTCTGACATACATCTGAGCAGGACCCTGCACCTTTTGTCTTGGGCTCCCTCTTTGTTAGCAGCTGGTGGACAGAGCAGCCAGCCTGCAGCAGCATCACGTCCACTTTACAATCATAGTGTAATGACAACACACTGCAACACATCGGCCATATTTTCTCCATGAATGAGGGGCAGAATTAATTAAAAACATTTGTATTGTTTGTGATGTATTTGAATAATGATGATTAACCTTTGGGGTGTTTTACTATGATAATTGGATGGGGGGCAGTGTTTAATGGGACTGGTGTTTTTTTGTATATTTTGATTTATGTTTTTGTTATAATGTGTATCAAGTGTGAATCATCACATCTATCCATCTATTATTTTTCCTTTTTTATATCTTGTCTGTGTGTATAACTGAGGAATAGCAGCATCATCACCACCAAAGTGAACTGCAGATAACCCCATGACGTGGCAGACACAGTATGGAAAGCCTACATAAAATAGTGGGAGCCCGCATGTATCTCGTGGTGGTCTTAGCCGCTGATAAGGCTTTGCAGGCTATCTGACTTCAGTCTAGATGAAGGATGAGGATCTCAGACATTGACGTTGTCCACCCTGCTGATGCTCCCTCGTCTCATCGTAAACTCTTGTGCACCCTCTGGTGCTTGCTAGTCTCCCAAACTTCTTTGTGTAGCCTGCTTTGCAGATTGTCTTCCTTGTCTGTGTGGTTGCTCATTATTCAGAGACAGACGGATCTCAGGTCATCTGCAGCTGCAGCAAAGGAGAAGCAGGAAAGATGGCGATCATCCATTAGACCGACCGGGCGCACGCATGAAATACGAGGACAACTTTTGGGAGGATCGCTTGAGGAGAAGATTGTACCAGTGAGTTTTTTCCTCTTGCACTATATTTCCAGTTTCGCCAAGATTTCGGCTGGGCTTTCAAGGTCTGCGAGAACGTCGGTATGGTAGATCATGGGATATAATTTGGAAAGCGCCTCGTGAATGACCTGGAAAGAGCTGATCGCCTGCCTCCACAACCTTTTCTCCTTTTAGTCCAGCCGACTTGTGAGAGGAAGCCGGGGAGAGATTTTAGTCGGGTGGGCGCTCCGGCTGGCACCCATGCAGCCAAAGTCAAGTGGGTCTTCTCGCTTCCCAGTTTATATCCTAACCAACCTACCGCTTCCTCGCTATGTCGCCTTTCGGTGTGTTGTCAAAGTGACACAAGGAAATGGACGCGGCGGTGTAAAGAGTGTCGCCTGCGTGTTTCAGCAGCACCGGAGTGTTTTGTTATTCTGACATGTCTGGTCAGGGGAATTATTGGCCCCGGCTGTGCGTCCCCTCTCCGGCCGTGCGTGTTGTTGCGCGTTAGCTTCATGGAGAAGCCATTGCACCGGATTGCTCTCCTCTCCCAAGCAGCCTCCATTAGCGACACAGTACAGAGGAGCTGGCATAGCCGCTGGTCCAGTCTCTCTCTCTCTCACACACACACACACACACACTCTATGAAAGCCATGTCCAGTGTGAGGAAGCTATATGTGCTCTTCCCCCCCCCCCCCCCCCTCCTCCTTTGCTCCTCTCAATTTATAAAAAGAAACCTTATCTGGTGGCGATTTTGGTTCTCCACAGGGTTGGAGCTAGATATCTGTTGATGGTGGTGAAATGGTGGCTTTTGTAATATTTGAATTCTAAGTATTTGTCTCTGCTCTTATTGCTACACTGTAACCCGCTTGTCCCCTGCACTGTTTGGATGCCTCTTTGCTGTCAGGTATGTCATACTAGTAGGGCTTCACCATAAAATGGAGGAAAGCAGATGAGTCTCCAAGGAGAGCCTGGAGTCAGACAGGCAGGATCCCTCACGCCAGAACAAAGGTTGTGTTCATAAATGATCGGCCACAACCTCTTCTTCTCCTTCTCCTTCTTCCTCTTCTTCTGCTTCTTTTTCTGCTTTTTCAGCTCGGAAGTTGAGTGTGCTACAGGAAGCAGAAGAACTCTGAAAAGTGAGGGTTTCGTGGGGCTTTCAAGGTTAACTCCATGAACTTGCTGTTTTCATTTTTTGCTGGATTTAAAACTATTTGGTGTGTCAATGTTTGGGTTCATTTAGTTTTTGAGAGTTTTGCAAATGATATTTCTGGGCAGTATATGTTTGTGATTGTGATGGCTGAGGGGACACTTGTATGAGATAGGAATTTTAATGCTGAATAATGCAGTATTTTTGGCCATGTAGTAGTTAATGTTCAACAAAGTGGTGTCAGCACACTCTTTCTTCTGTGTGAGATAGAGTTAAGTATTGGCTTCGGATTCTGAAAGGAAGTTCTCAAGATGATTCTTGTTTTTAGTTTTAAATGTGTTTTTGGTGAATAAATGTTCAGCTGCTTTTGTCTACAAACTGTAATGGCGTAAGTGTTGATCATTACTAAGTGTTGATAATTTTTAGACTTCTTATTTACACTTTTGGACCCTTCAGTTTTTTGGGTGAGGTCTTACTTCTGCGTTTGTTTCGGTTTTTTGTGTTAAAAATACTTTAAAAGTAATTTGGACGAATGGTCATCTGTTTACAAGCCCTCTATCGTAATGCTTTCCATATCCTCTGTAGATTACTTTTCACACGTTCTAACCTAAAGGTGTGTGTTGACCAGCCTGTCAGCAGAGTGGAGGTGTGTTTGCAAGCTGAAGTGTGTTCCTGTGGTTGTTACTGTGGTGTGTGCATGTGTGTGTGTGTCTGTGCTACGCTCTGCAGTTCCCCTGGCCACTGTGTGAAATCTTGCTGACAAGGAGACTGTGGGCTTGACACACTGTGCTGCGACAATGCTCAGGCTGAGAAGAGCAATCAAAATGGAGGCGATGCTCCTTCTCCCTGGCGTGGCAGGGCAAACAGGTTCTCAAGGAGGAGCCGGTAGAAGACAGCCGGACAGGAATCTGCTGCCGTCGACACATTTGTGTCACAGACGGGTGCAATGGATATAGTCTGGGTGGATGGTGGATGTTCTGCAAATGAGCCCAGGGATTTTTGATTGTGATGTTTCTTTGACACAGATTGTCTCTGGGATACAGACACTGTCTGCTGTCTCTTCAAGTTTCATGAAGTAACTTTCACAAGCCTGTAGTACATTCTTCCTCATTGTGAAGCCTATTCTTGCTACACTATAGGAGCTAATCTGTGTGCTAGTTTAACTAACCAGCTAAGGTCACGGAGGTCAGGGCTGTTTGCTCTTTCTGTCGCAGAGATTGCCTTTGTAGCAGAAGCGTTGTAGTAAACCAAGGCTGGATAACTAACATGGCAAAGTAGACAACTGCACCGGGGCCCCAGGCTCTCAGAGGCTCCTGATGTCCCCAGGTTGTCTTTGTGGCAATTACTTTGTTGTAATTAATTACAAATGTGTCTGGCAATACACTCCCCTAAATTAATTTAAAAAATGAAAAGCACAGGGCCCTAAGGTGACTCCTGCATTTTTACCCAATCAAGGGGATCTGGAGGGCCTGTGTCTAAATGCAAAGTTGGAATAATTAGTCGATTATTTGATCCAGTATTTGCATATTTTCTCTGTTTAAAGTACTTGTTAACCGATATAATTGTATACCATTGCTTTCGTTTTTCATTTATTATATTACTAAATCGAATATCTTTAATCAGATTAAACGAGACATTAAAATGTAATGTGGCTTTAGGCTCCAGAAAATTGAGACACAGATTAAATGAGAAAAGAACCATACATTATAGCCCTGCTTAATTAGATTTAAAATCTTAAGTATTTTTTGTTAATATTCTGCTAACATGATATATTTTAAAGCATTTATTTTTTCATGAATTTAAACTAACATGGGGCTTGGTTTTCCAGAAGAGAAATACTGGATAGTTTCTTAAACTTTAGTGTTTACTCGTGCTTCATATTTCCAAAGTTGCTGTTTCTTTAAGCCTTCTCCATTCATAATATATGGGATTTTATTAAATGATATGATTGTCTTATGCAACAAGCTATAAGATACTGTCATATTTTATATTGACCTCTGTATCAAATTGTGTCTTCATGGTGGAGATTTGTAACTGACTAAATATTATTGCCATGTTAGCTACAAAGGCTATTCAACCGAAACTGGTTGAATTGGACCTCTGCATAAGATATTTCATTGACATTTTTACTGCAGTTCAGCTTTAAGGTGACAGGGCAGAACTGAACTAAATTAGATACTTTAGGGAAAAAAATTACATAACTGGATTTTTGCAAGGTATTTCAGGATTACGCTTTAAAAAGCTCGACATAGAGGACAGAGGATTAAACAGGAGAGTCTTCTGTGATGGTTTGAATGCTGGAAGGAAGTGCTTGTGAAGCTCATCACTCACTCTTATACTTTTCTGTGTCCCTCGCGCGCACACACACACACACTCCCTCCTTCTCCCCCATTCACTCACTCACATTGGGTGATGCACTCCTCCATTCTTCTCCACCTGGGGCAGTGAAGAAGGCCGGAGAGACGCACAAAAGCAAATTGAAATGCTCCAGTGAGTGCTTTCTTGACATGATGCATGGCTCATGAGATGCAGCCAGGCCCTTCTGCTACACTTGTTAGTGTGCTGGAACACACTGGCCCCAGATCCAAAACACTGTAGTCATTACAGCACAGCAAAAACCTCACTAGGTTCTCTTGCATTATGCTTACCTTTCTTACTTTGATTCTTCTTGTTGTTTTAGATTAAAGTAAAAAAAACTGCCTGGTTGTTTGAATAAGTCAATGATGTGTAACTGGTAAAGGTTTATTTGGAATAGCAACACCACGTCAGGGTTTAAATGGAACAAGGAAGTGGCTTGCTAAGAGGTGTCATTCCAGTTTCTGTTGTCAGTTGCCACGTTACACTGCTGCATAACTGGTTCCTCCTCTCGGCTTTCCATCAAGACATCAAGCTACCTTTCCCCTCCTGGAAAAACATGCTTGTAGCTCAGTATAGCTCATAGTTGTGTCTACTAGTCTTCAGCTATAATGTGTCCAAGCAGATGGGACAGTTTGTACGCTGAGATAAATTAAGCTGTCTACCAACATACTTAGGTTTCCTGGCAAAAATTCAGGATTTATGTCCTTCTCTTATAAGAGACAGTGAACCAACTCTGTCAGATTCAAGCTGCCTGTGGTGGGGGGAAAAAATTCTGAATTCTTTGGAGACGCCCGTTCCTTGGGCAGTGTGGTGCCACCAGACAAGGCCTTCATTGAGCAGGAACAGGAGTGGTCTTGTAGAAGGGATCCACACTGGCTCGGCCTACGAAGCAACAGAGCTGTCCAAGGACGATTAAATATTTAAGAGCTCGGAAAGGAGGTCTCAGTGGTAAGTTAATATTGATGGGTCTCTCATCTTTCCCTTCTCAAACTAGTTGAGCTGCTGGTTTGCTGAACCTGGAGAGGAACCTCACTTCTTCTTTCTAGATAAAACTTACCACTACGTTAAAAAAAACAAGTGTATTTCTGCTAGCAAACCAGTCTCAGTTTACCTTCAGTTTGACTTTGTTTCTACTATTTTATATTGCTTCCTGTGTCCTCTTTTGGTCACTCTGAAATACTCCATCCTGACTAGCTTGTAACCTCACCCACTCTCTGTAACTGTAGTAACTGCCTTGTCAGGAAGTCAGCATTGCAGTGTTTTCTGGCAGTTGTCCACTGAGCACCACTTACAAGAAACCCTTCAGTGCACCTCAGCTTTTTCTTGTTATCTTTTTATTTTTGGGTGAATTGGTGGAATTGGATACTGCTGAAGGCGTTTTAATAGAATAAAATAATGAGATCAATGTTTTAGACCTTTGATTGAGATGAGGTTAGAAGGTGGAAGACGGTTTTGCTCATGGTCATTGCATTGTCACAACATACAACTAGTATACAGTATGTGACTGGATTTGAGT